ATATATTTGCAATAGTCAATCACTGTACTGGGTGACCTTGTTACTTGGTTGTATTGTATCAAGAAGGCTGCAACCCTGTAACAATATACTATTAACATTATTACATCTTTACTTATTATATCTAATAATGTTTATTAACAATAACAGCATCTTTTATAATGTACATTAGGAGCCTGCAAATTGCTTATTTTTGAGGTTTGGCCTGGTCTACAATTAGGATTAAAAATTTTTTTTAGGTCTGACCCAGCCTGCATTTAGGGTTACTATTTTTTTGCTGGCCCGGCCCAGCCCATATAGCTAAATTTTTTCTTCAGCCTGGTCTGGCCCAACCTAGCTTGCAAATATTTCTTATATAATTTTACAAATTTTTAGATCTATACTGATCTGCAATTATAAAGTTTTGCAAATTTTTTAGCCTGGCCCAGTCCACAATTATAAAATTTTGCTTCAGGCCTGACCTGGTCTGCAAAAATTTGTGGGCTAAGCTAGGTCAGGCCAGACTGCGAAACCTAATACAGGTCTTTAATATATATGAAGAATCATGCTACTGGTTAAATTGTTTTAATATACCAAATATAAGCTATATAATCAACAATACTATACAACAATTTTTTAATTTTAGCAGATTAGAAATCACAAATACTAAACTACAAGAATTACATAACAAACTGTTTAGTTACTAATGTCTAACTTTTAATAACTATATTCCAAATAGCACAAATGTTTACACAACTTTACAAGGATATGTTTCTTAATTATTTATTTAAACAATCTAAGAATATGCAGATTCCAACCAAATTGCAACTAATATTACTACTAAATTTTTAATAAAACTATTAAATAAGATATACAACCAAATATGAAAACTATACTGTACAAAACTAATCAATTAAAAACACCAACACAATATACTAACTTGACCTATATATATATAAACAAATACATATAATAATTTAAACAATATAAAAAACATATATTACTTTAGATTACTATATATTTACAACTATATTTGTGATTTGGCAGACCAACAAAATATAGGAGACAAATACAATATTTGCCTATTTATAAGAATGATAAAAAAAAAACACTCATTTAAATATCTAAATAGATTAAATATAACATTCCAACTAACAATACAATTAACTATCAAATTAGCAATATTTTAACTAATAAAACCTAAGTGAGATTTAACCACTCTAGTAAGTTTAGGTTGCAGATAAATTAGGTTAAACTAGGTAGTCTTAGTATATCTATAGTCTGAGTCTCATTCTTGTAAATAATTTGTAAACTTGACCTTTAGTCAAAGTAACCTCTTGTGGATTTTTAATACAAATTATAATAAAAATAAAGACAAAACTTTATTTTAAAAAAATAAAATAAAATAAATAAAATAAAATAAAATTACTTATTAATTATATGTTATTTTTAACTAATTAAAATTGTAAATTTTAATTAAACTAAATTAGTTTAAAAATTAAAATAAGCAATTAAAACTCAATTATTTTAATATAAAAATATTTGAATATCTGCTTTTTTTATTATAAAACTTTTATATATATAATCTTTAACTATTAGTTAATAAACAAAAAAAATAAATTTCTAATAAATTAGAAGTTAAAATTATATTAATTAATATATATTAATAAAAATCAAATGTAAAACCTTACCTTAAATATTAAAAAAAAAATATAAATAAACTATTTAAATTAGATATTATAAATATCAGGTTTCCTTTAACCTATCCTAACTAGAACCTAATTTGAAATAGTTAGCTATAGCACTTATAAGAATAGAAGGTATAATGTCACATTGGGTGCCAAATTGTAGCACAAATGTAGTTTAGAAATCTTTAATTTTAGAACTTATAATTTTATATGTAAAAAATTTCTACTTGAACATTATTTTAATAAAAAAAAAAATTATAAATGTTATATAGCTTAATATGTATTTTACAATATATATAAGAAAACTCCTGAAAGCATTTTTGGAGTTCGGGTTCTATTCAGATTATGTTGAAGACTTTGACCATAAAAAAAACATGTTTAAAACAATCCAATTACAATACTATAATATGCATATAGTGTATATACAAAGGATAATTTTCTTACGCTTTATAATGGTTGGTGACTATATCAAGATCTGACTCTATTTAATTACCTTGCTATATCTATTATATAAATGTAACAAAATTTTAGGTCTATTGATAAATTTTTTAAAAATTCCATGGTTTCTACATACAACAGATTTATAACAAATTTTAACGTTATATGTATATGTAAGTGATCGTTATATCCATAGTTGATTGTAATTAAATATATGTATATATATAATACGTATACAATATATATATTTAAATTAACATTAAACAATAAAGCTTGATTACAAAAGGTTTATCTAACGTTATTACAAATAATATATATATACGACTTATTCACGTTAGTAGCGGATCATGTAATTAAACCCGGCAGATTTCCAGCATTTATTGCCATTATCGTAATTTTGTGAGCGTTTTCTTAAATGTAAATCTTATATTTGTATTGGTACAACTTTTAATTAGTTTACACTAGTTTACACGATCGATTCAGTAAGGGTATGAGATGCAAAAAGCTCAATAGAACCATGGAAATCTGACTAAATTTAGCCAATGACGATGACCAATAGTAAATTTGATTTTTTTAGCATAGAAACGGTCGATTTGTTGAATTTTCTGTGGGAAACTATGGGGGAGACGTTTCTGTCCAACCAATACTCGAATAAATACCTCTAATATTTCTAAGTTCTTCGATAAAATTATTTCTGCGTTAAAGAACCATGAGTAACATTTCGGGAGGTCCAGATTTTGTGAGGAAGTTATTTAAGTGAGTTCTAACCCACGTATAAGCTTTAAATAATAACTACGAGGCATAAATGTTAAATATAAATACGGAAACCTCCATTGAAAAAATTTTGTTCATACTTAGGATGCTAGAAGATACTTCTTACAGCGAAGTAGTCTCTTGGGGCGCTAATGGTGACAGTTTCGTTGTAAAGGTGTTTATTGACCGAGTTTATTGAAATTTTTATGGCATATAACTGCATTTGCATGATTTAACATGGATTTCAAATACAGGAAATCGATGCATTCACGAAAACAATTCTTCCTCGACATTTTAAGCATTCAAATTTTGCTAGTTTTGTCCGACAGCTTAACAAATATGATTTTCATAAGGTCAGAAGTACCGATGATTCAGCTGGGCTGTACGGCGAACAGGTAATAAAAAAAAAAGATCATCACGTGATTGTAATATTTCAAAGATAATATAATTCTATCATCCTTATCCTTTTTTTGAATAGGCGTGGGAATTCCATCACCCACAATTCCATTATAATAATAGGGATCAATTGGACAGTATCAAAGTAGGATTAGCTCGTATTTGATTTGATCTGATCTTGCCAACTAAAAATTGAATTAATTAATTAAATATCTTTATTTAGAGGAAAACACCTGCCAATCGGAAACCCGTCAATGCCAATCCTCCTTCGGAAGTTTCAACCAACCCTCAATTGAATGATCTTCAAAACCAAATAAACAACCTAGGCAAACTGCAATCTGTTATGAACGAACGCCTGCATTCGTTAAGTAAGAGTTACGATACAGTTGTTCAAGATATATTGAATTTCAAGAAAAATATGGTTGCTCAGGATCAATTGATGCAAGAGTTGATACAATACTTGATAGGTCTTGAAGCAGGTATGCACATGAATTGCGGTTTTATCATCAAAATCACGTGTTATTTTCATTGTCTTACTATTTGCTCATTATATGAAGAAAAATCTAGTTCTTCTCGTTCTTTTGGACATGGAAACTCGTTGAATGACGGTATAAATAATTCATTCGTCCCTTCAGAACAAGCTCAGAAGTTAATCAATTCTTATGCTCAAGTTTCACGAGCTTCATTTGATCAAATGAATGAGATTTCACAACGTGCACAATCTTTACATAATATCACCAGCAATACATCCAACATGAATAATCGTAGTATAATATCCTCAGAACCTTTGACAATTCCTTCAACATTATCACCGTTAGAAAGTGAAAATGCGATTAATTTAAATAATGATATCAGAAATATCAGCAATTCTTCAGATGCGATGTCAAATGTTTTCATAACGTCTCAACGGTCATCTGCCATAGAGAACTCTGAAGTGCCAAAAGTGACGGATACTTCTCAAAGAACTGATAATTATGTTCCTGGTGTAATATTTAATAATATAATGACTTCAGATGACGTTACGGTTTTCACATTTGGTCACCTATCACCTAAACAATCGCATGCTTCGTCGTCATCAAATATCATCCCTGTATCAAATTCAAGTTCTTCAAATGCTCTACGTGTTGTAAATACTTCACAACATGCTTCTAATCATATGCGCGTTCACCGTAGTACGCTCGCACCAGTCTGGTCTGTTCCTCCAAAAGTTCTTCTAGTAGATGATGACTTGGTATACCAAAAATTTGGTTCAAAATTGCTTGAAGTCTTTGGTTGCTCCTTTGACATTGCAGTAGATGGAATTGGTGCTGTTAATAAAATGAATATTAGCAAATATGATCTTGTTTTAATGGTAAGTCATAAAGTTCTGCTTTTTTTACTGTGTCGCAAACCAGATTTGATTGACTTTCTAACATTATTACGTGCAATTTATAGGATATTGTTTTGCCAAATTTGGATGGTAAATTTTTATTTTTTAGAATTTCATTTCTCTAATGTCATTAGTCTTATGATTTACTATTATATAAATTTAGGTGTTAAGGCAACAGCTCAAATTAGACAATTCGATAATTCTACACCAATTATTAGCATGACATCCAGCGCATCACAACAAGATTGCAGTTTGTATCTTTCACATGGAATGAATGATGTTCTTGCCAAACCATTCAACAAAGCGACATTTTTTAAGATGTTAGAAAATTATTGTTCACATCTTGTCATGCCGAATTTCCAGAGCATTCCAAGACCATTTAGTGTCTCCGATATATCAACATCTGCTTCTAATAGTGACATGTTTTCTCACTCTTCAAATACATCAGTTGGAGAAAAAAACAATGACCATGATAGTTTGATTCCAAACCAAATGGCCTTGACCGTGTCTGACGGGTCATATTCTTCTGGCGGGCCTCTGTTTGGTTTCGACTATATGCAAGTTATGAACCATCTTGTTAATGCATCCTCAGTTACTCGTGGTAAGAATGTTATAGAAAATGATTTCCAAGACCAGCGTCCCCGTAAAAAACCCAAATTTGAGGTACTTGAATGATCAAGACCAGCATCCTTGTAAACAACCTAAACTTAAAGTACTTTAATGATCAAAGGCTTGTCTCTGGATATTGACTGTCTAGGACTGATAGCAATTAAATATTCCGAACATTACTATTTTGGATGAAGTCTAGTATAGGTAACACCTACTCTAAATCAATTGATTATTAATCAATTTTACTTATGGTGTCACCTATACTAGACTTCGACCTGATGATTTTTAATTTTGTAAATATTTATTACTCTTTCATTTCTTCCTTCCCCTCTTTTTTAAATATATATATATATATATATATATTACTTTGGAATGTACATCCTTCATAATGTTGCGTTATTTTTTTTATAAAAATGGCTATTTAAAATCCTCAACGAAAGTTTTTTTTTCATTATTTATTTGAATCAAATATAACTTATAAGCTAACAAAACATAACCGCTTCTACCTTATACCCTTTCCACTTCCATGCATTTATTATTTTAATTCTGTGCTAATGCAATATCCGTCATCGTATTAAGAAACTTTGTCGTAGAAAAAGACAAGTTTATATTTATCCTGATTTATTTAGAAATGTATGAATGTTTAAATTTTAATATAAAGTATATAATAGATACGCGTTCTTTAAGGAAATTTTTGCATAGCTTTACAAATGTACGTTATTTACTATTAAAAAAATATCGTTACGTATACAGTACGTATAAATATTAGGTTATGCATAGTTAATTCTTGTAACCCGGGCGGTCACTTTTTTTAATTTAAGTTTGTGAGAAATTTTTATGATCCTATATTTAAATAATTATTCTTTTATATATTATTAAAGTATAAATAGCGATAGTTGAGTTAAAAATTTTTTATAAATATTGAATTATAATTAAACATAATTTATAATAATATTAAGGCTTTGAGATTAAGAATTTTAAAATCTTTTTTGGGGGTTTCTGTTTTCTTATTTGCGATAGCTGTTAACATATGGGGTCTTTGCTTTGAAAATGACCTTATGGGATATAGTAATTACTATGTCCCGTAGGGTCATTTTCAAGGCAAAGACCCATATAGTGTTGGTTTATAGGATTCGTGTCATTTCACCGAAAATCAATTCATCGATAATTCATTTCACCGACAGCTATTTCAACGACAGCTCATTTTACCGACAACTTTAATTCTAATCTGATCCTAACGAAAATGACCATAATTACTTTGTCGGTGAAATGATTGTCGGTGAAATAACCGTCGGTGGAATAAACTTGTCGGTGTTGATGAAGTGATTGTTGGTGAAATATCAGTTTGCGTCTTTTTGTGTAATTAAGATTATACAGATGTTCTATAACCAACCATAGTTACAAATATCTTATCTCAACTAATTAACAAAAAGTAGTTGTTAGAATACAGGTGTTTTTTTAAAAAATTTTGTTTTCAGTAGGTTTTAAACTTACAATTTGTCACTTGAAGAAATGATAACTTATTTATGTTACCATATTTTTCTTATTAGTAATTTTTTTTTTTTTTTTTGGTATTAAGGTGACCTCTTTGGTCTTTTGACTTTTATTAATCACTTGTTGGCATTGTGGTTCAATGAACCACTACAGGAGAGCATACAATTGGCTACACATGTAACTTTTCTATATTACCTATTTAAGGAGTCCACCCGAAGGTTCCCCACCAATTGCCGTACCTAACACCTCTGCTTGGGTGTTTCATTTTAAACTCTCTGAACCTGTAACTTGTGTTAACATCACTGGTCATCACTGATGTATCAGATCATCATCTTCAACCTTAGAACTAATTTATCCTTGAGGTAAACCTCCCAGAGCCTTCTGTACTTATTTTTATAGTTGACCTAGGTATCGGTATGGCAGAACCAACACTTGCGGTCAGGGCTAACTATTAAACCACTATGCCTTTGTAGAGTTCACTTAGACCCCAGCATCTACTTCATAATATAACCTCAGTACTTTAGTATACCCCTGCCTTTTGTTTAGCCTTTTTACCAAACTTCCAATCCAGATAACCCATGTAGGACTATGACCAGTCCATCGGTATATTGGGTTGGTCCAATATCTTTTTTCTTCGTTTTATTCTGGCGGCCTGGTTGGTAATACCCCTGGGACCCCAACCTGGAAGTTCTTGCCCATCTGGCTACTACGACCGAGTACTACAACCTTGGTATCTGTTTCCTTGAGCTAGCCTTTACAGTAGGGCCATCAAAGATCCAGCTACCTCTCTACTCGGGTCTTCCTAAATAGACTTCTTGTTACCTAATTTCAACAGATTTACATAGCTACAAGGACTTATCTAGTGTTTGCACTACCTGATTTGTCAATTTGCATTCCTCCATATAACTCCAACATTGCACAGATACCCCATAACCTGCCAGTCATGCTGGTGTGACTGCCATTACAGGTATCCTAACTCAATCGTTAGTAACAGTTGCAGTAATATGAATATTACATAGGTGATTATCCAAATTTTCGCTATTGATAAGATTTGAACACCCAATCTACTACTTGAAGGGTTGACAACCTGACCACTTCATTAGGTCACCATACCTATCTTAAAGTTTTATATTAGATGTCATATCTATAATCTACTAGAAGATTATCTATTTAAATCTTCTAATTATTTGTTTTATTAATCATTTAACTACTACAAAATCTTCTATATATACTTAACCAATATATTATTTTGTTATTGGATTTTCAATTCAAATAGCTCAGAAGAACTATAATCTGTTTTAGATATATTAAATTTAGTCTAATATCTTTTTTTTTAATTTGATCTAGCAGTTTAGTTGGTATTATTTTTTACTTAAAAGTTCTTGTTTATTTAATTTTTTTATATTAATATTTATTTTTTAGATCTAGTTTTTATAGTAGTATTATCAAAAATCTGTATTATCTCTTTACTTGAATCTTTTTAAATAAGTTTTAGTTTTTTTTAGTTTTACAAATTTATATAATTATAAGAACTTATTTTAAATTTGTACTGCTTAGTATTAGTTTATATCTTTCTGTATAATTAAGATTATATAGATGTTTTGTAATCTGTTAGTTATATAAATATAATTATAGTTACAAATATTTTATTTTAACTAATTAACAGAATATTATTACTATAATACTACCTATATATTATATAAGTAATTATTTAAATTTTTATCATTTATAGGTTTAAACCTACTCAATTTAAAATTTTATCCTAATATCAAAAATATTTTAAAGAACAAAAACTCTTTCTGCTGATCTACATTTTTATAAGAAAGCAAAATCCAAATTATAAAGAAAGTAGAAAACTAGACTAAGAACGACACTTTGAACAACTAAGAAATAATTTAAGAAGGAAAAAAGAAATAGACTTAGTTAGAACAACAACTGGAAAAAATAAAAGCACAACAGAAATTTTTGGAC